TTTCTACTTCATTCTTCTCTTGGGATTTTGAGTACGCACGTATACGTACCTAGCCTGAATTTCAAGCCATTGGGTTCAGGACTCAAACCGCAGTCTGACAAGTGTGAGTCCAGTGCCTTAACAACCACACCACCTGCTGACCCCCAGGCTTACGAGGCACAACTACAGTTACTTTTTTGTTATAAACAGTGGTGTTGGTCTTTCCTAGATTTTAGGAAATGACTCCTATTTGGGGATTTAATCTTACTGTGTACATTCTCTGGAGACTATTTCTAATGTTAATTACCTTCAGTGGTAGTTCTGTCACTTCTGGGGAGAATGGCTTATTGTTTGAAACCTTGGTGTAAAAATAGACTAGGATAATGACTTTTTCTTGCTTCATGAACTTTCAAGTATTAATTTCATGTTTTTTTTTTTTTTATGGGATGGCAGATAAAATGTTTGTGTGCATAAGATAGAAAACAAAAGTTTGATTAGGAAAAAAATGATACTTCATTTCGAAAGTAAAGGAATGAGTTGAAATAAGTTTTTGATTCCAAGTCTTACTACCTGGCTAAAATAATACATATGACCTTTTATATGAATTAAATAGATGTTCTTCTGTGAAAGAAATCTCTGCTTCAGTTCTTTCTTTTCTTTTTAAATATTTTTCTTTTAAAAATATATTTTATTTTCTTTTATACATCCAATCATTATATATCACTTAGCTTGTAAAGTGAATTTTCCAATATGAATACATTTCACACCAGTCCTTGTTGGAGGTACTATACACATTATCATAAACAGATAATCAATTTCTGTGTCCCATAAATGTGATCCTTTCTTTTCTTGGCTGTCACTGACATGAGTCATTATGCTTCAAAATAGTCTGTGGTCCCTGAGTGAGAGTGAAACGGGTAAAAGTTGTAAGCTGGTCAGAGGAGGCGACTCTTTCTTTCTAGGCTAGCTCCCAGGTAGGAATGGTCTATCCTCCAGCCCCTGTCATCTTGAATTTTCATCCCCAAATCATACCAGTAAGAAACACATTTGGGTGAATAAAACCTATTAAAAACATACAATTATCTGTGGAAAGCATATGCAGTGCTCTCATAGGTTGAATTAATCTCTTCATCCACTATGCTTCTGGATTAGTTGCCTCTTGCTATATTACAACCACCCAAAATTTAGAGGTCAAACAACAGCAACTACTCATGCTATTTGTTCATGGTTCTGTGTGTCAACAGTTTGGGTTGGTATCAGACAGGTGGTCATTAACTCATCTTGCTTGGGGGTCAATCACGTCTCTTCTAATCTGGAGGACTTAAGTTACAATGGCTTGTCTCTGCCACTTGTGGATTTATCCTCTAGCAAGTCAGCATGAGCTTGCTCACATGGAGTACCACCTTCCCGGAGGATGAGAACAGACTCTGCAAGGCTCTTGATACCATGGCTCACGTGTCGCAAAAATGCCATTTCTATTGCATTTGTTGGTCAAAGTAAGTCACAGGTCAGTGGAAACTCAAGGGGTGGAAAAATAGTTTCCACCTCATAATGAGAGGATCTACAAAGTCTCATTTGAAATCTCTGCCTACAGAGATGGGAGGAATAGTTTTGGTCTTCTTTGCAAATAATCTACCACAATTTGTGTACCAACACAAGGGAACTAGCCCTTTTTTTTTTTCTTGGAGAGGGTTTTGCTACAGGGTGCATGTACTTGCCAGAGCAATAGAGAGAGACAGAAGGTGAGAAATCACCCCCCAGGGGGTTGGCCGCACTGCAGTCCCTTCTCCTCGATTCTCCTCTCAGGATCTTGGGCATGCATGCACACACGCCCAGCATGAGTTTAAGCCACCGGGTCCAGGACTTGAACCGCGGTTGCCTACATGGGAGTTCAGCAACATAGCCACTATGCTAACTGCTGGTCCCAAGGGGACAAGCACTTTTTATAAAGCAAATGTTTGATATAGTCATTGGTTGAACTGAATTCACATGTAGAGGGATGGGGTTATTACCAAGAGTCCCATAGAAAGTCAACATTGGGTATTTGGATATTGCCAAATTAGGGGACTTGGAATAATTTCCAAGACTAGGGACTTAAGCTATATTGAGGCATCTGCTGAAATGACAACCTCTGAGCATCCATTAGGGAGGATCAGGTAGAGTAAGGATCAGAGTTGAAACCAAGTACTAGGGTGTAGGAGTAGAGTTCAGTACATAAGTCCAAGAAAGAGTTTCCAGATCGGGGGGGTGGGTTTATAGGTGTTTTCCCTCAATAGTGCCATCTGAGTGTGCCTTTGGAGCTCAAGTTTGTACATCCTTGAAGTCCTCAGCTTTGGCTTGAAGAGAGGTGGGAAGATAAAACCTGGCTATGTTGCTATTTCCCAGAATGGGGCAAGAGTCTGCCCCATTAGAGGTGAGGCTCTCTAAAGAGCCCCGCAGTTCTGCCGTTTATCTACTTTGTATGTCCTTCCTTCTTTACCTTACCATGCCTTTTGGCTTCAACAGTTAAAATAATTTCTCTATTGAGTCCTCTTTGACCTCCCATTTGTCTTCTACTTTTTAAAAGCATCTGATGCCTATTCAACTCACATGATTCTTTTATCTCTGCTATGTATTATTAGTTTTCTTTTAAATATTTTTGTAAATCTAAATTACTAAATTATTTCTGTTCTTAAGAAGTTTATATTTTTGTTCTTCTCTAAAAACAGTGATGACTCAGGAAGAATTTATTTGGTTTATAACAACCCCCTAAAATTAGTGTTTTAAAACCCCACATTTATTAGCTCACAGACAGAGGATTAATATAACGACTGAGCTCAGCCAGGTGGTTCTTTTGTAGTCAGCTGGTCGGATGGCTGGTGGCTAACCATCTTACAAGATGGCTTCACTCCTATACCTGCTGGTTGGAAGGCTATCAGCTGGGGATGGCTGACTGTGATTCTTCTCCATGTAGTTTCTAATCCTCCAAAAGGCTTGCTTAAGTTGGTCCACATAGTCTTAGTATTCTAAGAACAGCAAGAAAAAGGAAAGGTCCCAATATCCAAGTGTTTTCCTACTCTTTGGTCTGTCACATTGATGTCTTGTTTGCCCAAGTAAATCACATGGCTAAGCACAGATTCTAGGGGTGGAGAAGTATTGGGTCATAGGGAAAGTCATGACACCATTTTACATAGACAACCAGAAAAATATGTCCTGATTTTCCCAAGGATCTGATAGATTCCACCATTTAATTAGAGTAGCTGCGAAGTCTACATAGTGCAAAGAAGCACACATACTTGATGGAAAGAATTAGTGCCATTATTGCAGTCAACCCACAGCGTACATACATTATTCACATTTCTCTCACATGAAAAATATTTCCAACTGGGAAACAACAGTTAGCATAATGGCTATGTCGCTGGACTCCCACGTAGTCAACCGCGGTTTGTGTCCCGGACCCGGTGGCTTAAAACTCACGCTGGGCGCGTGTGTGTGCGTGCCCAAGATCCCGAGAGGAGAATGGAGGAGAAGGGATTGCAGCGTGACCATCCCCCCGGGGGGTGATTTCTCGCTTTCTGTCTCTATGTCTCTCTCTGTCTGTCTGGCGAGCGCATGCGCCCTACAGTGAAAATCTCTCCAAAAAAAAAAAAAAATTTCCAACTCAGGACAGCCAAAATCTCATCCTAATTCTGACATTTAATGTTAATGTCTAGGATCTTATGATTTGTGTTAGGTCCCCTTTGGTGGGGATCCTCTTATTCCAAATTCTTATGAATTAAAAAGGCAAGTTATATGGTCCCCTGGTGAGATGGGACCAGGATAACCACAAGAGAAATTTTGTTCGAAGCAGAAAAGAAAAATAGCAGGAATCGCATAGTATTTACCAGTCTATAGCAGTTCTGAAATCCTACTGGAGTCATGCTGCCAGGGAGAAATTCCTCTTGAGATCAGGGAGTAATCTTTAAGAAGGGCTGAGTTCCACCTCCTGGGAGTGGCTTAGTCTATTATACTTCAGGAATCTTACTCTACTTTCTAAAATACCTTTCTATAAGAAAAGACTGGTGTTTGTAACTGAATAAATTTCTTAGTCTGTTTTTTTTTTTTTTTTTTTTAGAAAGTTGGGAGCCCAGAGGCTTCTCTTCATTTTTAAGTGTCTTAGTCCATTATAGTTGAAGTTGCTTCCTTCCTATCTCTTTCATCTATGCAACTCTTAAAATCTCTGCAGGTTTCTCTAAGACTCTGATGTGGATCTACTCCATTTAATAATAATCCCAGGTATAATTCCAGACAGGCCTCTCTCTTCTATGAGAACCATGTCTGGCAGCTGTGGGGCAAAAGCCTTAATCAAAGCACTTTGTATACCTGAGATGGCTCATTTGTTGCCTCCTTAAATCTTTCAAGATTAACACATGGGCTTGCAGGGGCACCTTGATTTGATCTTTATCCTAAAACTGTTTATTACTTTGAGGGTCTTTTAGTGGCTTGAGAGATTAGAAATGAAAAACAGTTGTGTTGTCCAATCTGGTAAGTTCTGGCTCCTTACCGTATCCTCTCAATTCGGCTTTCAAACTGTGCAGTTCTTCCACTAGCTCTTCTCTCTCTTCCCACATCGTCTCGTAATTAGCTAAACTAAGCCAATTGACACTTTGAACATTCTACCTGGAAGTCATCTTGCCAAGACCCACAGTTTCATTAGATTATATTCTGTCTTCCAAGTTTACTATAGGAGGTAGATTTGCCACTTGTTTCCTTATTACATAATTTGGTGCTTCCTTTTTTTTTTTTTTTTTTTTTTTTTTGCCTGGTAAAACAGGTTCTTCATTGGTTTTCTAGTATTTGCTATTTGTTTGCATGCACCTATGATGCTGGCTGGCTAGAAGGCTAAGAGGAGGATCTTGTTTTGATAGGATCATGTCAAGGTGCCTGTATCTATCTTTCATAAAACAATAAATAAACTTTAAAACTAAAAAGAGCTATATTAAAAAAAAACAGCCTCGGGCTAGATGATTAATTGGAAAGAAAAGAAAAAAACCTGAAAAGACATACTTACCTGGCAGGGGAGATACCATGATCATAAAGGTGATTTTTCTGGGACAAGCCTTATCCGTTGCACTCCAGATGTGTTGACTCTTGCAAACTCCCTAGATGGGGGAAACTCAACTGCACAATTTGTGGTAGTGGGGGACTGCATTTCTGCTTTTTTCTGAAAAAAAAAAAAAAAAACTGAAAAGAAATTTTAGTTTATGATTAAGATTATCTTTTAATGGAGAAATTAGCAAATGCTATGTTAGAGAGACAGTAATGACTTTCACCTCGCCCAAGGCTCTTCTACCCATGAACTGTAGACAGGAGGATGAGAATTTCTGTAGTCTGAGTGTTTTTGTCCTCCCCAAATTTCTATGTTGAAACATAATCACCAATGTGATGCTATTAGGAAGTAGAGTTTTGGGGAGGTGATTAGGTTATGAAGGCAGAATGCCAGGAAGCTGCCTTTCTATTTTCACAGTATGAGGACACAGCTAGAAGGGGCTGCCTAAGAACACCGAATCTGCTGGCACCTTGGTCTCGGACTTCTCAGTCTTCAGAGCTGTGAGAAATAAGTTTGAGTTGTTTATAAGTCACTCAGTTTATGGTATTTCATTATAGAAACCTGATCAGACCAAGACAAGAATGAAGCTATGTATTAGCTGACATTTGTTTCACTATTTTCTTTTCTTTTTAAAAAATTTTGCTAGCAGGTGTGTGTGCTTTGTAGAAAAGGGGGAGGGATGGAGGGAGGAAGAAAGCAGCCCCTCTCCCCCCTAAAGGGTGAGGTGGTTACACTGCAATCCCTTTTCCTTCATTTTTCCTTTTGGGATTTTGGGCACACACATATGCACCTGTGCCTGGTGAGTTTTTAGAGCTGCTGGGTCTGGGACTCAAACTGCACAGTTGGCTATGTGGGATCCAGACACCTTAACCACTGTGCCATTGGCCTGGCTCACTATTTTCTTTCTTTCTTTCTTTTTTTTTTTTTGGAGAGGTTTTTGCTGTAGGGCGCGTGCGCTCACCAGTCAGACAGAGAGAGACATAGAGACAGAAAGCGAGAAATCACCCCCCAGGGGGGATGCTCACGCTGCAATCCCTTCTCCTCTAGTCTCCTCTCGGGATCTTGGGCATGCACGCACACGTGCCCGGCGTGGTTTTAAGCCACCGGGTCCAGGACACGAACTGCAGTCGACTATGTGGGAGTCCAGCGACATAGCCATTACACTAACTGCAGGATCCCACTATTTTCTTTCTTCTTTTCTTTTCTTTTCTTTTCTTTTCTTTTCTTTTCTTTTCTTTTCTTTTCTTTTTTTTTTTAAGAGGTTTTTGCTATACGGCATGTGTGCTCACCAGAAAGAGAGAGACAGGCAGAGAGAAAGAGAGACAGAAAGTGAGAAATCACCCCCCAGAGAGGATGGCCATGCCACAATCCCTTCTCCTCCATTCTCCTCTTGGGATCTTGGGCACACATGCACACGTGACCGTCATGAGTTTAAGCCACTGGGTCTGGGACTCGAACCACAGTCGACTACATTTGAATTCAGTGACATAGCCATTACGCTAAATGCTGGTCCCCTGGCTCACTATTTTCTATGTCAATAAATGATAGAGGCTGGACATGGCAGAAGAAAGCAGATGACAGGCTAATTTGAATGTGTTTGGCAGCACCTCATACCAGTGGGGAAAAGGCATGTGATAGCAGCATCAGGTTAGGTGGGAGGGAGATAGCTAGCTGCAGGGTAGGTGAACACATTATATGCAGAATCTGCCTCTGCTTAAATGGGAGTTTGGCATATTTCAAACAAAATATTAAGTTCTCTGTAAGTCAGACTAACTCTTAGGCTTGAAGAAATTAGGAGATAAAGAGCGAGTAGAATTAGGAGTTCCCTTTAAAAGGTGCATTAGGAGTGAATGATAGCTCAAAAATAGTAGCTTTAGTGTTTCACTGTCACTAATGTACAAATTAGAAAGTTCCTTGAAAAATAGGAAATAATTACAAAGTTCATTAGAATTTTACAGTGGTTGTAGGAAAAATAGAAATAGCTTCTCCAGATTTAATGAAGGAGTACATTTAAAGGCAAATTTTGATACAGTGAGCATGCATTTATGATAGAAGGATATTTTGTTTAATTAGCCTGTTCATGGAGTGTTATTTATGTCTCATATATAAGATGAAAATAGGTTAGTGACACAGGTTATCTCCTTTTACAGGATGTTAAAGTTAGAAGACAATGATCATGAGAAGTTTTAAAAAAGGATTTATATAAAAAGGAGTTTCAAATGTGTATACTTAAAAAGTTACATGAGAAATTTATTTGCATTATAGAAGATTTAGAAACTGGGGGAAAAAATCACCAAAAGCTCCAAGATTTCATTCACTATTATATTTTGGTGTTTTCTTTCTTGTATCAAAATGAATTGGGTTGTTGGGAAAGTCATGACACATTTCTGCTTAGAAAAACAGAAAAATATGTCATGACTTTGCTGATGACCTAACGTTCTAAAATAGAGTTTTAGTGGCAATCAGCACATATTTTTCAGCTGGCTTTTGTCGTTTGACATTCTGTAACAAAGATCATACTTTAGAAATGTTTACCATCTGTTTTGATTTTTTGGGGTGTTTGTTTTCTTTGGTTTAGTGATTTTCCAATGTTTGTGCCTAGCTTTCCCAGGCACAGAAAAGTGTGAGGTGGAATAAATGCTCTTGCTGGTTGCTCATCCCATATCTGTGTTACCAGTTGTCTTTGCCTACAGATCCCCAATTTTGTCTGGATATTTTCCTCCCTTACATGAATTGGGCTGGTGTCCCTGTCTGTGGATTAGGGGTTGTCCCTTGGTCTGGCTGATAAAATGAGAAGGTGGGACATCTTCCCTTGCTCTTATGAAGATACTGGAAGAAGTCCTTTTGTAACATGTCTAGGGTTGTGCCTGTGGATGGGAGAGCAGATTATAAAAGAAACTTAGAATGATATTAATGAGCCACTAACTTCTATATTCATGGATGAAAGATCCAAACTGAAAGAACAGGGTCATATTTTGTTTTGATATCAAATAGGATGCTGAAGGAAGTGTTGCAAGTCAGGCTTGAGAAAAGATTTACTTAACTCTCTAAACTTTCTTGCATGTTACCTCCTGGTCACATACCCAAGAGTATTGGCAATGGAGTGTTGGAAGATTTAGTTTACTTTGTTCTCTGATTGTGTAGTGGAAATACTCTAGTTAGTTCTTAAGACAACCAGGATCTGGAAGAAAGATGTTTTAGAACAATAAAAAGCTCAACCTATTTGGTTCTGGGGACTAAGGGGTTATGGGAAGGAGGAAGAGAGATGAAGAGACAAAGGGAGGGAAGGGGGGAGAGAGGAGAGAGAGAGAATGAGTGAATAAGAGGAGAACATGGACCAGCAGATGGCATAATGGTTACGTTGCTGGACTCCCATGTAACCCATTGCAGTTTGAGTCCTGGACCTGGTGGCTTGACACTCAACACCAGTCACATGTACATGCATGCCCAAAATCCCAAGAGAAGAATGGAGGAGAAGGGATTGTGGCATGACTATCCCTCCTAGGGGGTGATTTCTTGCTTTCTGTCTCCCTGTCTCTTGGGTGAGCACATGGGCCCTGTAGCAAAAACAAACAAACAAACAAAAAACCAAAAAACAAAAACAAACCAACCAAACAAAAAAACTCTCTCTCTAAAATAAATAAATAAATAAATAAATAAACAAAAATAGTAGAACAAAGCACTCTAATAGGAGCTTCTTGAACACTTTTTTCTGGTTTAAACACAGTGTAGTGGAGGTATATTAGGGTAGTCCTGAACAGAAAGAAGGGAATTATTGTCTCTTTCCCCCTTAGCTGTAGCCAGAGAAAAGTAGTATAAAATGATCAGGCAAAGAGCAGGGGTCTGAGATTAGTTTAGCTTTGTTTTGATGTTGAGTACTCCCTATGCAGTGCAAATGCTAAAATACTAGCCAGCAGATGTGCTGCAGGCCCAGCTGAGGCAGAGGCAGAGAGGCAAGGGCAGAGGCAGAGAGGCAGGGGCAGGGGCAGAGGCAGGGGCAGGGATGGCTGGATGCTGGAGAATGTGCTGAATGGGGACTTGCGGTTAGTAGCAAGCTCCAAGATAGGGCTGAGTTAGTTAGGGAGTCTTATTTCATCTGAACAAGAGAGGCCAGCCCCCTATAGCATATTAGCTATAGATTTCATCCACGAGAGACAGTGGGACACATTAGAGATCAGGGGATGCCAGCCAGGTTAAGCCAGTTAAACTCCAGCCAAAGCTGCTCAATGCTACCATACACCCCTGGATGTCCTCTTATAAAGAGAAGCAGGCTATTGAAAGAATGGGCAAATTTTATCCAAGAAAGTCTGAATTGAATCCGAAGGGAATATTACTTCTATTATTAAATTATTGAACTAAATCTCCAGATGGACAGTACTGAAGCTTTTTTTTTTTTCTTTTGGCCAGTTAATCAAAAGGCCTCAGTAAGATGACCAAATTAATTGTAGACCAAAAAGGGATGCATTTTCTTTGTATTTCCAAAATAAGCATTAATTAAATGATATATATTTTTGTGTCTCAGAATAGTCTTCCTAATTATAGTTTATAACAATGGTACAGTGGTCCATTGATATTATATTTTATGATTTAGTTTAATGGCTCCCAAACAAATGTGTCATTTAAGTTAATATAAATAATTTTATGAGAAACTTACAGATTTTCTTGCATTTTGGATTCTTTATTTTTTAAGAGTTTATTTATCTTTTATGAGAGAGGGAGAGAAAGGGACAGAGTCAGAGAGATGAGTATCCCCAACAGGGTCTTCACACCATGAAGCATCCACACTTTCAGTGAAATCCCTGATCATGGGCTTATGCACACATGTCCAGTATGCTCAGAGAGGTTCTGGGATATGAACTCATGACCTTTTCCATGGGGATGCAGTTGTGTAAGCACTGCAACACCAAAACTACTGATATTTCTTTTTTTTTTTAAAGAATTATTTTATTTAACTTAATTTTTAATTTGATCAGAGAGGGACAGAGAGAGACAGAGACAGAGACACACAGAGAGAAAGTGAGAAAGCAAGGTGCCAGGTCCAGGACTTTAACAGTGTTTGGCCATGTGGGAGTCCTTAACCACCATGCCACCTACTGGCCCCAACTACTGATATTTCT